GCCCAGGAGGGGCCTCTGTGGGAGGRAGCAGGGCCTGCAGCCGGGAAGCCAAGCTGCCGGCTTCACTGCTGTTCTAGGAACCTGGGGCTTGGTGCAGGTGGGCAGCGCTGTGCCACTGAGCTACTGTGCCACGGAGCCACTGTGCCACTGAGCCGCACRCCCAGCCCCCGAGGTTCTCTTCAGAGAGCCTGCTGTGCACGGAGGAGGCTGGGGCTGCGGGGAGGGACAGGGACACAGCCCCACTGGAGGTGGTCTCCTGTGGACTGTGAGCTCCTAGGAGGCAGCACACCCCTGCTGTTTCCAGGCAGAAGGCAGGTGCCCCTGGAGCCCCTGATCCAGCAACTCCGGGACAGGGCCCAGAGTCTGCGTCTGCAAGTCCAGGTGGGGTGCTGCGGCAGGTGGACTCACTCTGAGGATGCTTCTTAGTCTCAGGCTGCGCTGGGGCTGGGGACAGGGGAGCRGCCACCTCCCTGGGTTAGTCCTCCAGCCTCATCTCCCAAGTCTCCCGACTCTGTCCCCGCTCCAGGGGTGGTCAGTGACTGCGACAGCCAGCCAGCACACCAGGCCACAGCGGTCCAGTGTGGACGACCGGCCAGCCCCTCCACTGGCCCCGAGTGAGCCTGGGTGTGAGAGAGAGTAGGCGGCTGCAGGGTGGAGTGGTGTCCGTCCAGCGGGAYGAGGTCGACGTGGATCACGGCAGCGCAGGCAGAGCCCAGGAAGCAGCGGCTGTGGGYACACCGTTGAGTGGCGGGCAAGCCCCTCCTGAGAGCCACCTGCTGCYGGGCGCTGAGCGCTTGATCTAGTAACTTCTCCTCGCTGCTCGGAGTAGCAAACTGTGAAGATCAGCAACAACTGGGACCAGTTCAGGGGGCACAGGCTCCAGCTAACCACCCCAGCCCAGGAGACCGGAAGCCAGGTGGCAGTCCCCAGCCATCCCTGATGTCACTCCCACAGAACCAGTCCTAATGGTCGCCCTGGAAATAGGTTCCAAGACAAGAGCGGCCACTGGGGACACTTTCAGTACCAGGTGGCAGCAGTGTGGCCCCCACGGGCCCCTTCCCGGGAGCGGATCCTTCCTGCTGCGTCCCCGGTGCCTGGTCCCCGCCCACAGCCATCCCTCTGCAGCTTATCTTCCCGTGACTTTGGAGAGCAGCCTTCCTTATCTCAGAAACRAATGGCCTCCGCGAGAGTCGGAAACGGCAAAGCCATTTATCTGGCCGACACGTGTTTCCCTGTTGGGTTCTCCAGCCTGGAGACTCGCTGTCGGCGTCCACCGCCGTGCCCCCCCTGTCACTGGAGACGTCCATCAGCCTCCCCGCTGCGTTTATCACCGGCTGCCTTAAATCAAGCCTCATCGACGCCTCCTCCACTGGCTGTAGGCTGGGGCCGTAGATCACCCACCGGGAAGGCGGGCGGGCGGGCGGGCGGAGGGGATCCCAGGGCAAACTCCCACCTGGGCAACACCTGCCATCTCTGATGGGCTTTCACCGGGACCCTGGCCAAACGATCAGAGATCTGTGTTCATGAAGCGCACCTTCCGTTYACCTGGCGTGCGGGGACTTCTGTGGCAGATGGTTATTCGGGGAGATTCCTGCGTCTTTCAACATTTTATAATATATTCCGAGGACCGGTGTGTTTTAGGTGGACTTTTACTCCTGTATTAAGTCATCGTCTCATTTCTATGTCCTTTAGAGGTGTCTGGTTCGTCACCGTGACTATGCAAGACCATGTCTAGCGGTAATATCTAAAATTGAAAATCCCTCTCTACAGGACAGCTCGGTGGAAGTCCCTGTTATAAAGTACGGACTCCACAGTCTCAGGCCTAAGAAAGCTGACTTTCTCTCTCTCCCTCGGTTCTTGGTAACAGAACCTGATCCACAGGACCACAGTGGATTTCTCACCAGCAGGTGTGCAAACCGCCCCCAGCTGTCAGCCATGTGGAAGGAGCAGCCTGTCTGACTGGTAAATCCATCTTGTGCCAGTGACAGATGACACGGGCTGAGTTAGGGCTCCTGCAACACCCACAGCGTGGCCCATGAGTCTTCAGGGACCCCGGGAGAGGCGAGAGGACCTGGAGGAGGCGGGCGAGAGCAAACCGTGACGAGGGTTCACATTTCTAGCTGATGGCTGAGCCCCGTGGACTTCCACCACCGGCCTGCCTGCCTGCGGCCGGTGCCTCTGTGAGGGAGCAGCAGTGTCCTGTTCTGCTCTGGGGCGGTGGACACCGATGACCCCCTCCCCGCGCTGCTTCACCACGTGCATTTGAACAGTCTCACGGGCCAGCAAGAGAAGCAGCAAAACTCACTCATGCCCTGTCCTACAGCGTCTTGGCCGACAGTGGACTGCACGCACCACTGTGCTCCCAAAGGCCGTGACACATAGCCCAGAGGTGCACTTCTCAGAGTGGAGCCCCCTCATTGGTGACCCATGGCTGTAGGCCCACTCCCATTTTCCAGACGGAGGGCGAGGCCTGGGGCCTGGTGTCCACCCGCCCTCCTGGGCCGTCACACCTGGACTCAGTGCTGTCCTGCCCACMTCAAGCCTTGGTTCTCCCTGCCCAGCTGCACACAGGTGTCACAGCTCGMCTCCCTGCTCTTCAGCTAACGTCCCCTGCTCGCCCCCGTCAGCAGGGACCTGGGAGACTCAGGTGGGTATAGGAGGYGCCCAGGGCTGCCTGGCGGGTTGCCTACTTTAGCTGTGAGCGTGCTCTGGGTCACGGAATGAAGCCGCAGTGAGCGCAGAGGCTCAGACAGACGGGGAGTGGGAGGCAGCAAACAGGGGACYGCCACGGACACGGAGGCCCAGGTTGGGAGCTCGGGCGTCGTCCCTACCACCACAAGTGGCCTGCGGAGCCCGTGGCCGTGGGAAGCCGGGCAGGGATCACACCTGCCCATGGTTTGAGGAAGGAGTCTCACTGAACCAGGTCCCGCCGAGGTTCCTCAGGACAGAAACTGAGGAAGGAGGACAATTTCCACCGCTTGAAACTCTGAGGCAAGGCGGGATCGGCCCAACCTGCGGGGCTTTAGTAGGAGCAAATGACTGCAGTGACAGATGGYGCCTTCCAGACTGTCCCCAGGGACGGTGCTGCAGAGGAGAGACGCCATCTCGATGGCCACAGCCACCTGCCGCTCTCCAGGGAGGCYGCGTCTGGAACACGTCCYGCCATGCTGTTGGTGGGTCCAGGCRCTAACACCCACGTMAAGTGGCAYCGTCGCCCACTACCAGGTTAACGCCAGCTGGGATTTTACCAGAAACACAGACCCTTGCAGTCCCCCTAAATCCAACCCTTTCTCGGAATAAAGATGCAGCTGAGATCAACGCGTATCAGATTTCAGGTCCTTTCTTCCCCAAGAGCCTGCGGTTGGAGGAGAACACACAGGTTCGTCAAGGCTGCAGACGCTGCTCCCGGTCCAGGTGGAGTGACGGAGGCCAGATCGGCTCCCTGGACAGGCACAGCCAAAAAAGAAACAGGGGACGCACGGGACAGTGGTGGGCACCACACTGAAGATCCGCAGGACTGACAACGAGGGACAGGGGAGGGAAGGCCCCACRCACGGCCCTGAAGGACCCCAGCCTGGGCAGGAGGGACAGTCCAGGCAGAACCCAGTGGACCCCGGAGTTCACGACACAGCTGAGGGCCCGCAGGGACCAGGAYGGGGCCCAGGGAGGAGAGGGCCAGGACAGGGCTCAGGCCTGGACAACCACAGGCAGCTGGAGGGAGAGGAGGCAGGGCTGGGCAGGGGACAGGAGGGCCCTGCAGCCCTCAAGAGCGCAGTGAGAGACCAGGCGGGGCGAGACCACCTGAGACCACAGGCAGAGGGGAAGGGCCCAGGGAGGACACTCAGGAGGCAGCCTCCAGGAAAAACGCCCTCGGCATCACGCCTTAGACCCACCCGGCAAACCACCAAGGCCAGGCACACAGGGGGACACCACAGCAAGCCACCGAGGGGCACCCCAAACCAGGTGAGGAACAGCTGCAGGAGTCCAGGCCCAGCACCCACAAGATAGGACCAAACCAAGGCACCCGAAGTGGCAGGACGCTCGACCCACTAACAGAGACCCCCAAGACAGAGAGACGAGAAAACTACCTGTCTTCAAAAGAAAACTGGCGGAAGATACACAGACACTTCAAAAAGGCGCCACCACCCAGGTGTCAGGAGAAGAGCCGACGCCACAGGAGCAGGGTGTGGGGGTGCAGCCTGTGGTCCCAGCAATCAGAGGCCGAGGCAGGAGGGCTGCAGGTTCAAGGCCGGCCTTGGAAAGTCTGCAAGMCGTCTCAAGAGAAAAAAGAAAAAGAAATGGGATGTGGCTCAAGTGGACCGCACCCAGTGAGGGGGAGCCCGGGGAGGAGCTGGACTCCAGTCCTGCTGCCAGGACAGCAGATGGCCAGCTGTGAGCAAAGCTGCTCACGGGCCCTGGAAATGTCACGGGGCACAACCTCYTGACGGCTCAGCCGCTGCACTTCCAGATGATTACCTGAGAAACGAGAGCTCTGTCCACACCTCGCCTGAGCACAACCGTCACAGAAGCTGTATTTCTCACAGCCCCAAACTGGGAACGACTCGGACACTCACCAGGAGGTGAGAGGAGCAAGCTGTTCACCGACACGGCCGTCAGCAGTGGAGGAAAAGCCCCCGGAAGCTCCTGGCCCTGCTGCCACGGGGGTCAGCGTCAAGGCAGCTACGAGGGGAGGCCTGGCCGAGAGCCAGCCGTGCTGCACGAGGACAGCCCAGGGAACCCAGTGCTGCGGGAGGGGCACATTAGTGGTCGCTGGGGGACGCGGGTGGTGGTGCTGGCCGCGGGGGAGGCCAGGACAACACAGGCTGGAGGACACCAGAGGTACRGGAAGCCCCCACTGTGGTGACGGCTTCTGCTGGTACTCAGCACGCTGCGCAACAGGAACGCGAGGTCCTCGACGGGGCGGAGGGCAGCGGCAGGACCCCTGTTCCCCCTTAGACATCAGCTGAACTTCAGTTACCACACTTCAGAACTTTAATTTTCAAGAAGCAGCAAAGAGACCAATATGTATAAAAATCAGCTCACTTAAGAACAATGTTGTATGTACAAAGAAAAAGTGCCAAGCCCACGCAGCCCACGGAGGGTTCTAGCTCAGGAGAGGCGCCCGGCCCGAGTCAGTCCCCGGCGTCGCCTGCCGGTCTCCGTCCTGCGTCCTGCGGTGGCTCCTTGYAGCGGCTCCCTGAGACGTGGAAATCTGCAGGGTCGTCCTCAGATGGTCGCCRAGCTCCTCGATCAGAGGCCTGCGCCCTGCAGGCTCCTGGGGAGCGGCCAGCAGCGMCCCCTGACCCACGGTGGACCCCAGGCCGGCCTCGCCACCAGCAGGAAGCGGGGCACCGCTCTCCAGAAAGGGGCCCCGCAGAGAAGCCCCAGGTGCACGCTGCTGCTCTGCCCGCTCGTCCTGCTCTGAGGCCGAGTCTTCAGAGTCGGAAGATCCCGACGCCCCGGAATCGCTGGGCGAGCAGGCTGCGTTTCCGGCAGCTTCTTCCTCCTGGACGAGAAGGGCCGCAGCCTCCAGCTCCTCCAGCTCCAGCCCCAGCTGCCCCTTGGTGAGGGGGACTTCTCTCAGGGCTTCCGCAAGAGCAGACAACTTCTTGGACCTTGAAAATTCATTAAGAGGAAAGATTAATTAGGAGAATCATTAATTGGCTGRGGACAACCGGGCGATAGGGCTTCAATAAATAAATAAGTGAATAAAACAACACTTGATCCCATACTTCTACATGACACCCCAGGAAAACGCCTCAAAGCCATCAGTGTAAAACATGAAGCTATTAAAGCATCAGGAGGAAACAGACCTTCCTTATGACCTCAGAACGAGGAGGCCCAGCTACGTCTCAAATTWCGGAATCTACACAAGAACGATAAACCCAACTAGATAAAACCCGACAGCTCTGTCTGCACGGGCAAGAAAAATCGTCATGAGCCAGTCGAAAGGCTAATGCAAAATAGAGACCATTTACAGTGCACACCCCAGGCCAAGGCCTAATCTGCTGTGAGTTCCTGAACAGGGATGTGACGGGCCAACAGAAACAGCCAAGAACACCAGCAGGTGATCATCAGAAAAGGGAACACGACGACTCACATGTAGGATGTCCAACTTCCGTTAAATAAGGAAACACAGTTTGAAGTCATGTGAGCTGCGTCATTCATCAGACTGGCCAACGAGCAGACATACCATGACACCGTTAGGAGGCTGGGGTAAAGGCTCCACGCAGGGAGATGAAGCCCGTTACCCCTTGAAGGAGAATGTGGCCACTGCTTCCAGGATTGAAAATGTACGAGCCCTTGACCAGGTCTGGACCTCAGGCACAGGCCTCTGCTTCCCTGTAGCCACAAGGACACTGTGCCTCCTCGGACACACTTCCTCCATGAGGTACCGTGCGCCCCGGGGTGACAGCACAACAGAGCAGCCCTGGACCATGAGCAGAAACGCCCCCTCCTCCTGCTAAGCTGACCGCGTCAGGTTCTCTGTCACTGTGACGGAGAGCTGGCAGACTGTGTTCCACAAGTGTCAGCACGCTGGCTCCTGGTCACCTGCTGCACCACTGCATCATCCCCCAGACCCCGGGGACGGCTKGGGGCCCAGGGCCCACAGCTCCCAGCCAGAGGAGGAAAGGCCAGCTCTCCCCTGGCTTCTTCCCAGCCGGGCTCCCCTCACGCTGTCGAGAGGCAGGCTGTGACCTCCCCAGGCCCTCGCTGTCTGGAGAAGGTGGGGCTCCAGCCTCAGTTCAGCACCACCGGCTGGGTCCCCTCCAGCTTTAACTAWGCAGACTTAGGAGAGCAGGGAACTGAACTGCTGTGAGCACCTGGGTGCAGTCGGCGGAAGAGCCTGCGTAGTAAAGCACTGTGAGGGCTCAGATCCCGGCACCAGCAAGAATAAAGGAAAAGCCAAACACCACCAAAAGACGTTCTCATGAATACCCCTGGATACACTAGCTTCACCCGCTCTCCAGCGGGAAYCGGTTCAGCTTTCTCACCGTCGAGCACCCAGAGGCTGCAGGGTATAAACACTGTCAAAACTCCTCGCCTGCAGCCCGGCTCTCTTCACAGGGCACACCCCACAGATGCTGGGGCTCAAGTGGGAATGCAGCAGGTAGGAAAGGGCGAGGCCAGGCCACGGGACCACGTCACAGCCTCGCCTGGAGCCAGCCGATGTGAAACTTCACACCAGGGAAAGCTTGCCCTCACTTAGYCGTACAATACGACTGCTAAAAAGTGACCTCTTTACCCAAGAAATGCTTAAAAACACTGCACGTCCATTTGTGCTCCGTCACCAGCTCTGGCTGGCTGGCTTCCGCGTGACCCCGAAGCTCTGATGGGAACTTGGTTCACAGACGCAGGGCTCCGAACTCTCCCTACAGAGYGCCAGGGTAGAAGCAGCTGGCACCTCGACTCAGCGCTGGTGCAGAAGGGGCCCAGGAGGCGGAGGGACGGAGCTGGGCGTGTTGCTGCTCAATATCCCACACAGGTGACTCAGCAAAAAAGCCAAAGTCCCCGTGGGGGAAGTTAGGCTGGGACAGAGCGGCCACCTTGCTCCTTCAACCAGGCACCACCGTGAGCTCTGACCCACGAGTCCCCCTCAGGAGGGGTCACTATCACAGAGAACAGCTCCTCGAAGGTGGTCAGTGCTTTTCCCTGTCATATTCAAAAGGGACCTGACTACTTCACATTAAAAAGCTTCGTCATCAGCATCATCAGACTCCGGGTTCTACAAATGCAGGGACCTTCTGACATGCTCAAGGACTCRGGCTGAGGGAGCAGTTGTAGTTACAGTAAGCCCCTGACACCTAAGAACATTTCACCTGTTAACAATGTGTTTAAAAGAGACCTGACAATCAGACCACACCAGTGTTAAGATTTTAAAAGTTATACCTAAAACAGGTTTTTTCTTAGAAAGTTACTAGAACGTAATCCCACCGTGTAATTAATGACAAGAAAACTTTTATTCGTTTCGTGGAGGTGAGATATCCTGTTTAATGTTGGTTTCTTTGTAAATCAGAGATGGCTGACAGGTCGCAGTAAGTGAACTACTGTGAAGGAGCGGTGGTGACAGCCGAGAGCTCACAGCCCCGGCAGGGCTGGCCTGGCAGCTGAGTGCAGGGACGGGTCCCCGTCTGTGAGACAGTCAGCCGTGGGCACAGAGAGCCTGGAGGGAGCGTGCGGTGCCTCCTGCTGCGGAATCCATCTAAACCACCACTGGCTTCTCTCCACTGCCTGCAGAGCGGGCCTCCTGTGGGTCTCACTTCCTCTGCCCTAACCGAGTAGCCGAGTAGCTGGCCAGGTGTGACACCTGAGACTCAGCCAGGGGCTGACCAGGCAGGACGGCGCTCCAGGGAGCAGTCTAGGCACCGGCACAGTGGACGACAGGGCTCCCGGGCTGCTGGGCCAGGACACCACCCCTTCTGTGGGTTAACCTGACAAACACAATCTCAGGTTCCATCRGGGCCAGGGATTCCTTGTGAAGGGCACTGGTGATGGTGGCCTGAGGTCATTATTTCTTCTCCTGTTCCAACCCCAGGCCCTCGGCCCAGGCACTTCACGGCCAGACCAGGAGGACTGCTCTGGCTCCTGGYGGAGGCGGCCAGCGGGTTCCCACCTTGCACCCTCCACTGGGTGACAAGAATGGCAACAGGCGGGCATGTGCTGGCACTCGGCAACAGCGGTCATTAGCGAAGGTCTCCCTCGCTGATTGAGGCTCCTGGTTGACAGGCAAACTACACCACAAGGCGCCCACTCTGGGCTCCTGGGCCCACCACACGGATCCCGAGGCCCAGGCTCAGCCACCATCTCACCATCTGGACACTGCGAAGCWGGGGTTTCCGCACGTTCTCCTGCAWACTCTCCAGCTTCCACAGAGACACTCCTAGGGCAGGATCCAGAGGCCACTCAGATGCCACCAGCAGCATGTCTCCCATCACCTCCTCACCTCCCCTACACTGCTGGCCTCCAGACCCCGTGGGAGAGGGCAGCCAGCCTGTCTGCTCAGGGGCTGGGCAACCCAGACAAGGATCCCGTGGGCAGGGACCTCACACCCTCGTGTCAATAAACACCAGGTAAGATGGAGCGAGCTACACGGTGCAAGTGCCTCRGAGGAAAGGGCTGAGCAGGGGTCGGGGTGCTGGGAGAGGGGCGCTTCGTTCAGGAAGGCCTCGCTGAACGGTGACAGGAGCACCACCCGAGTGGCCTCCATGCTGGGACCCAGCCCAGCCCTGCTTCTGGCCGCTCTGCTTCCTCAGGCCTGAGTGCAGCAGACGTGTCACCCCTGCTCGGCCCTTCCCACCTGGCTGCCTCGTCTCCAGGTCACCATGGACCCTGTCCAGTGCTGCGGCCAACTCCAGGCCCCATCTGCCCAAGTCCACTACCAGTGCCTGAGCCTGACCTTCAGCCAGCACTGCCTCACACATGGCAAGTGGCCACGGGTCCTCTGGCTGCTTAGAGGAAGATCCGGAGGGCTAGCGGAGACAGGAAAGACCCTGCCCGAAGTTTACGTGACTTTATATCATAAACTATRAAACGACTCGAAGGCTCACGCTGCGTCATTCCAGAGATGCCACAGGCAGGACCCACATCCTGCCACCACGAGGTCAAGGAGAAAAGACTCTGCACACCCAGGCTCGTGGGGGCACTCGGGACAGTCCCCCGCAGAGAGCTGCGTCGGGGCTTGTCCGTCTTCCCGAGGGCTTTCACGGCCCGGCCTGTGGGATTCTCTCACGTCAGCAAGCGCAGCTCTCCGTATTCCAAGACGCTCCCACACGTGCCTGGCGAGTCCCAGCTTGCATGAKCACAGTCCCCAGGCCATGCCACTCGCACTCAGGAGTGACACCACATGAGACTCCACCACATGAACACTGTCCAGCACAGCCGTGGAGACTCTGTCCCAGTCTCTGACACACTCTTTACGCACAGACCCCAGGGCAGTCTCACCAGGCTGGGAGCTCGGACTTGTCCTTTCCATATCCTATCCTGCTGGTCGTGACCCTCAGGATTAGGCCTCTACTAGTTGGTTGGGCATCTCTTTAAACCCACATTCACTCCATCCTCAAGACTTAGGCAAAAGCTCTTCTATAATTGGAACTGAAGAGCTGCCATCATGTCCCAATCAGACCCAAATTACTATCTACAAAAATTACCAGCTACTAAAAATAAGAAGGAAAAAGTGGCTCAGAGATATTATTTTGCTAAATATAGGAATACCCATGCGACTTGAGGCTCTGCTGTCAGATGGTCGTCAGAAGCAAACCTGTTGGGTGCTGAGCCTCTCGTGCTCCTGCAGGAACTGGATGCCAAGGCCCAACTACGGTGTGACTCAAACGATGGCGGAAAACGTCTTCTGCAAGGGACRGAAGGGCTCTGCTTCTTTCAACCCTTGCAAAGGGAGTCTGGGTGTGTTTTCTTGGGGCCTCCTCAATCCAGAGACAAATCTGGCCCCCAGGGTGCAGGATGCTGCAGGAGGGGCAGAGAGCTCGGCTCTGATCACAGCTGCAGACCCCACTGCTGAAAGAAAGCAGCAGCAGCAACAGAGCCCCTCCTTGCCCTGCTCACAACACAAGAGATCAGCAGAGACAGGCGGGCGGGCAGGGAACGCCCTGCCTGGAGG